CTCCTTTCGAAAAGTTGGTGAGAAAGACTTTTTTCCCTGCGGTAACATGGGCATGAGCTTTAAATGTTTACTTTTCCGATAGAGCTTGGTGAGGTTCTGAAAGCAGTGTAATATAATATTTTGGCAAACTGCAAGGAGGTTACCTCGGGAAAGTTCAGAATGAAAAGATTTATGTAAAGCCTTAGGAAAAAAAATCTTGATTTCAAGATTTTGCTTGACGGTGTCCAGATTTGGACAGAAGGGCGTGTTCTTTTAAATACTAACAGTGGATTGCCGTAGAACGACGGCCTCTGAAATGCAGACTACGTTTTTGGTTCAAGGAACAGAAAGTCTGTTCAAGAGGCAGAAAGTACATTCAAGGACATTAAAGCTTTCACGAACATTTTTATTTAACTGTGAAATTTGTTTACCCAACGAGAGATGGTATCAATAGGGTGATAGCATACGTGAAGCATTTTGCACTCCGCCCAATCTGGGTAGCCTAAGTCGCTCTGACCAGCCCGACCTGCTTTAGGTAAGAGATTTCAGATAAGAGGAACAGAATTGGTATTTTATTTACTTCTGGTGGTTCCCTTGAATAATCTTACCAAAAAAAAAAAAAAGTTTCCGTGGGAGGTGGACCTTCACTCCACTCCAAAACGAAAAAACTTCTGTTTGCCATGCAGAAGTTTTCACTTATATTAACTTTTCTAATTACAGCTTCTAGGTTAGACGTCCTGATTACAACGGCTTTTTCTAAGACTTCACGTTTTGCTTTCAGTTTGTAACTGACATTTGCACTTACTTTAACTATTTTTACACCCTATCTTACATCTGCTTTCTTAGGTGAATCCACTGGCAGGTCCGCAGGAACTGGGTGCCCCTTGTCCCCTTGGAAGTCTTGCGTGACAGGGAGGCATTGGGAAGGGTAGTCCGCGGGCAGGGTTTTAAAATTTATTATTTTAAAATTATTATTATTCTTTTTAGCGGTGGCAGGGAGCCCCCTGAAGCTGAAACTAAAGTATGTTTCGTTATTACGGGGATGTCCTGCACACTCACTTCCTCCCTTAGGGCGTGGGGGGACGCAGCTCCCACTCATATTCCACTCGCTGTGGGTAATTTTCTGGGGTACCAGGGAGAGCTTGCTAGCTACCGGGACAAGTCCCTCCGCTCGCGGAGTTTTTAATGGTTCTCAGGCCTTAGGCGTCGAGGATGGCGCGGGGGAGGCTCGCAGGGGCTCAGCCCCGAGGGGTTTCTGAGTGCCCGCCAGATGGCGGCCTCTGACCTCGGTGGCAGCTCCGCGAGGCGTCCGCCGCGCGATTGGGCGTGCGGGCCGGCGGGGAGCGGGAGCCNGCCTGGCGTGAGTAGACCCAGAGCCCTGTGCGCCTCTCTTCTCCCGACCTGCGCCCTCGTGCTGGCGTTGCCCTGACTCCCGGGCTGTGGGGGCCCGGCCACCCCGCCCCGGTGGAGGACGGTTGAGTCTCTCGCTTTCAGCCCTTCTGTCCGGACTCAGCGACAGTATTCCCTAGTCACCGGGTGTGTCTCTTTTGTAAATTTCCGCCGTGGACTCGTTTGTTTATTTCTTCCTTATAGGGCCCCAAAGGCTAAAATTAAACTTGAGTTTATGTACTGAAATGCCTCCTTTCCTTTTAATTCAGTATAACCCTACCAATATTTATTGAGCTTCTTTGGACCAGGAAGAGTTCTGGGTGCTGGGGACACAGATGGATCTGAACTTGACTCCTTCCCCCAGGGGCTCCCAGGGCGGTTGGAGCCCGAGCCAGGTTACCTGCACAGGTAACTGGGCTTCAAGGCACCAGACAAGGGCCCTGACATCTGGAACACAAAGGAGGACGCCAGGGCCAGGTTGGGGAAGTCAGGACGGTTGGGCACAGAGCTGTCAACTTGTACTCACATTGATCCTTGCTTTCCTTCCTGTATGTAAACCAGGGAGGTAAAAAATACTATTATTATTGAAATGCCCTGCTTTTTCTTTTTCAAAAAATCCTCATTCCAAGATATTTCTTCCATTGCTTTTTTAGAGAGAGATTGAAAGGAAACATGATTTGGTTGCCTCTAGCACACAGGGGAACTGGTGCCAAGAAATTAAGCAACTGGTGCCAGGAATCAAGCCTGCAACTGAGTGAGGTGTGTGCCCTGAGGCCAGAATTGAACCTTGGACCCTTCAGTCCATAGGCTGATGCTCTATCCACTGAGCCAATCTGGTTAGGCCTGTTTTTCTTTTATATTTGGCTCTTGTCACCTCCTCTAGGAAGACTTCACAACCCGCCTGGTGGGTTCCTTTCCTCTGTACTTTTATATACTCAGTGGCTATCTTTGTACTTTACATAGGATTGCGCTTAACACTCTGTATTGTCATACTTTTTTCCCCAAAAAACTTTTCATTCAAGTTATATTATAATTATCTGGGTTAAAATACATGCAGAGTAAATAGGGAAAGCCCTGGAGTCCATTGCCTAAGATAACCAAAGTTGACAGTTTAGTGTCGTTTTCAGACATTTATGCACTCAGATACAATCTCTTCAAGTGTTTTTAAAAATATATAATTTTCTCTTCTTATTTTGTATAATGCTGTTTCTCCAACTGTATTTCAGAACTGCTGGGGGTGGGTTTTCTGTTAATATCCCTGCTTTTCTCATATGTAATTTCACTCCCCTCGGGCATCAGTGTTTCTAATAAAAGATTTTTTTTTCTTCTAATGACCACTTTCCTTGTTTCTGAGAATGTGTGTATCCACAATTTACATTTCATTAATCTGCTTGTTCAGAAGCCTGAATGTTTTTTTCCTCCCTCCTCAACTATGGGTTTAGAGAAATAGTTTCTTCTTTGACCCCATATACCTACAAATGAGTGAATGGATATATATATATATATATTCATATATATGTAAAAAGTAGATATATTCTTGAATCTTTTCTTTCCAGATAAAACTGCTTCCTCCCCTTACGCCCACTTTGTACCTTGTTCTGTATTTATGTTTCTTTGGTGGTCTCCACTTTTAGCCACTTTGTCTTTTTGACCATTTAAATTTTGTGCAGAACAGACAAAAAGCTTCTTCATTGTTTTTCTCTTATTCTAGATATTTGGTTGTGATTTTTAGTAATTCCATACTTATGAAAGAACTAAGCTCCACCAATTTGACACCACATTTACCTGCATATTCAAGATAGTTTATGTATTCTGCAGTGAACTCTTCAGTTGGAGAAATTAACCCATTATTTATATCAATATCTATATATCCCAGTTTTTCAATGTGATTGAAAAATCCTCTTATAGTTACTGCCTCCAGAGTTTAGAATATTTTCTAAGGTAATGGCTTCCTTTCAGCATCTGATTTTACAAGTGGGAACTAAAGCTTCCTAATCTACTCATGAAATTCTTGAGTTTTTTTCTTGAACTTTTATTAGATTTTTCCTTTTGCTTTTATATCTTTTTTTTTTTTTTTTACTTGAAGCTTTCAAAAGTATTTTTAATGTCAATGATCTTTGTTTTAAAGAGTAGGCAAGAGACAAACATTACTTAAACTCAAAGAGCTTGGCCTGTTGTATTTTTGTTTTTTTTGCCAAGGAAATTGAAGCCTCATAGTAAATTGGTGAATGTAATAAATGCCATGCATTGTTCTCTGGCTTTTTTTTCAATAACGTGAGTGACTACAGCAAGAGCTCATAGAAGATTAGTTGTGTATGAAACTTACACCATCTCATGCAAGGTATTAGTAATTTTGAGGATGTCAGAAGACTATCTTATTTGAGGAAAAAATAAATTTAAATTTTAGGCACTTTTGAGTTCACCTTAGGAAAATTATTCCACATGCGGATGACTGGCCTGGAGGTTTGGAAAATATGGAAACTTTGACACATAAATCTTGCAGGTTTAGAAATTGTGATAAGTATAAAAATTAATTTTAGTAAAGGTATGGGGAGTTGTACCTTTTGCTAAAAGGCCAGGAGATGTCTGGTGAACTTGGCTGGCGACATTGTATTCTGCCTGCTCAAGATGAGGTCCTGCCAGCTCTCAGGATGCCCTGCATGGGGGCTCACCTGCTCTTACAATTACAATTACATTGTAGGCCACTCTTAAATAACAGCATTGTTACCCCATATAGTTGTAAAAGCTTTCTTTTACAAGCTCTGTCTCCTGGACCTATCAACCATGTTTCAAGTATGATACCTTACTCCACCACAAGGTCCACCTTGCTTCATTGTAGGTTGTGAAAGGATAAGTAAGGCATTGCACATGTGCAGGCCTACTGAAGCTGTGTCATGATGAGCAGCCCGTTCAAGTCTTAGGAGAGTGAGTTTAGGAGGCCTGGCCAGGGTCCACCACACATTAATGAAGATGTATAAGAACTTAACCTGTCCTCAAGGATCTTACCACATATGACAGGTGCCCAACTAGAGTAAGATAAATGGCAGAAAAGAGTAAAAACAATGCTGTGAAGCAGGAGAAGATGACCTGATTTGGGGACCAAGACAAACTTATGGAAGAGATGTCTGGAAAGATGGGATAGAATTTCAATAGGCAGAGACAGAAAAGGGAAGGAGCTTTCCCAATGGAGGCAAATACTTGAGCAAAGATGTTGGGATAGAAAAACACTATCCAGGGAACATTGAGATTTTTATTTGTCTTGAGTCAGATTATGGATTAGAAAGAGGTGGAAGATACTCTTAGGTATTTGGGCTCTCTATGAGAAGTTTGCCCTAGCAAAAATTTAACTTTGGTCAAGAAGGTGAGGGCCACTATATTAAATGGATTTAGATTTATTGTTCCTGGCCACTGTGTTCATGTTTTTGTATTCAGCTAGACAATTCATGATCTCTTTTTGATCTAGATCCTTTCTCATTGTGTGTTTCTTTCACTCCCTCATTTTATCCAGCCCGAATGCTACTGTTATGAATCAGGAAAGTTATTGGAAGTAATGTTATGTTAGAATTTGTGGGAGCTTGCTTGAGAGTCATGGGGCTGAGCCTTATCAAATAACTTTATAAAATGTACCTTCTAATTTTGTATTATTTCATAATTGAGGTCATCTATTGTTTGTGGGCAATTTGCTATAACTGAAATGCACTGCTTGTGAAGCCAAATAATTTTTAATGCATAATTTTAGCCACTGATGCAAAATAATGGCCAGTAACATACTAAATTGGGATGTGTTTATGCTTCAGCCTAAGTAGGTGGTCCTTTAGACTATATTTGGTATGTATTCTTGGTATTTCAGAAATTCCAGAAACCATGTGATGAATTGTATACCTCATTTTATTAAGTTTTTAAAATTTTATTTATTTTTAACAATATGTTTTTATTGATTTTTAGAGAGAGAGGAAGGGAGAGGGAGACAGAAACATTGAGAGAGAAACATCAGTCTGCTGCCTCCTGTTCGCCCCCCAACTGGGGATCGAGCCTGCAACCTGGGCATGTGCCCTGACCAGGAATCGAACTGGAGACCTCGCGGTGCATGAGACAACACTCAACCAACGGAGCCACACGGGGTTGAGGCCCTAGCCCGTTTTGGCTCAGTGGTTAGAGTGTCGGCCTGGGGACTGAAGGGTCCCGGCTTTAATTTTGGTCCAGGACATGTACCTCCGTTGCAGGCTTGGCCCTGGTCTGGGTGTGTGTGAGAGGTAATCAATCGATGTGTCTCTCACATTGATGTTTTTCTCTCTCTCTTCCACTCTCTCTGAAAAGCAATGGGAAAAATAATCTTCAGGTGAGCTTTAAAAAAAAAAAAAAGACTAAATTGAGGTCTAGAGATGCACAGGTAAGTGATAAAACCATAAAGAAAAATAAGAACCTCGTTACTATAAAAGCCAGGACAGTGGTTGCTTCTAGCGGGTGGGAAGGGGCTATGATAGGGGTGGGGCACAAAATGGCATTTCACAGTTGCAGGAGGAAACATAGATTAATTATATTAGCTGCTGGAGTTGTTACACAGCCCACACCCACAGGTTTTGTACACGGATGAAGAAGGAAGGTGGGTTCAGTTATATTCAGGGAGAATGCAGAGTTCTGTGAGATGGCCACATTCTGTGTTGCCCAAGGGTCATGTAACCCGTTCTCCTTTATCCTTTCAGAAACTTCTGTGTGACTTCTGACTTATTCTGGGACTTACTGTTCCTATCTCAGTGGGGATTCCCAGACAGCTACCTGAAAGTTTAAGGTTTGCATGCTGCTTTCTGCAGCTGGCAGGGCAGGCAGGCTTCTCTGCATTACTGCCCAGTTGTGGTGCTGCTAGGAAACCACGTTTACTTCCCTACTGTGGTGTTTTGGGCTGGACAATTCCTTGTGAGAAATGTTTTTGTGAGATGTTTAGCAGCATCTCTGGCCTCTGTTCTCTAAATGCCAGTGACACCAACTGGTTATTATAACCAAAAATTTCTCCAGACATTGTCAAATGTCCCCAGAGGGGCAAAATGGCCCCTGATGAAGAAACATTGATTTTGTCTATCATATTGCAGAAATTTTCCTTATCTTCTTGAATGTCTTAAGATACTTATTTTAAATGTTCATATATAGGCTCCTAGGATGTGAATTGTATTTGTTTTGTTTAATGTCATGGTGCTTTTTACTTTTGTGCATGGTAATTTTTAAGCATGAGCTCATCTTCAGCACAGTGGATGTCTCATATGCCCTGGATTGTGAAGGTGGCCTTAGGGGTGGTTTTGCGTTTGCCTCTGAAGACCTTATGGACTTCCCTAGTCTGAGAATAATTTTTATGTTAATGTTGGTTTGGGTTTAAAAGAAACCCCAACAAAATAGTGATTGTTTGGGCCCCAACCCTACCTCCTCCTTCCATTTTCCCTTTTCTCAAGTGCCTTTCACCTCTAGCCAGTTAATTGCCCCCAGTATCACCCCAACGTATACACATTGGTGTTTTGCTGCATCTGGTTGGCCTGGATCTGTAGTTTGGCCTGGATCAGCACAGGATCTGTAGTTTTCCTTTTGCTATTTTCTCTGAATATGACAGATTGTACCACTGAGTAATTTGCTACCACACTGTACCTCCGTTAGTACAGAGGGAGGACAGCAAACCAGTCTTCTTGCTGAGTGTGTGTAACTGGCAGAAAGCTGTCGTGGGTATAATGGTTGGAAGAAATAAACTGAGCAGATAATATTTTTAAAAACAATGATCTAATTTTGTTAACTCTTGATGGCATTGTTATTGATAATTATGAATTACAAAAGTTAGATTACTGTTTTTAAAAATAGGAAATTGAGCATTTCTAGTAGCTTTGTTTGGTTCTTTTTTAGATATGTGTGGTGAATTTGGATAATATCTCATTTCTTACTCTTGTGTTTAATGACCTCTTACTTAACTTCATACCTTCTAGTGTATATAAATATTTTATGGGTTAACTCAAAATGACTACTAACAAAATTGTGACTTTCAGTGAGTAATATAAGAACTTGATCTCCTTTCATGGAAACTAGTGGCTAGGTTAACATGCCTGTGAGTGGAGTATAGATTTAGGCTTTCTGAAACACATAAAATTAGTATTCAGCTTTCAGATAAAAAAAAAATAGTCTGAGTACCAGTTATTTTTTACTTTCATTGAGCAATAATTAAGTAAATTTTATTAATCTAGTTATTCACAAGTGGCCATGTATAAGTGAATTTTGGATGAATGGGCATGGGATTGGCATAGACATATCAATACTTATTAACAAGTATACATTAGATAAAATGTCTATTTTTATTTATTAAGAGTACACCCATTTAGACTGGTAGTGCGAGGCCAGTGTGAAAGGTATGAATGAACGAGTGGTCTATTTTAAAATAAAATATTTAAAATTTTAAAGAAAAATATAATTTTATTACTTTCAGACTTATTAATATTTTCATTGATGAGTAGTTCTGGAACTCTAGGAAAATTGTACTTCCTCTAAGAATCTGTTTTGTTTTTCTTCTCTTTGACAGCAAGAACTGTATATTTAATGTCCAATATACCCCTTTTTGCTTTGACTGCCAGGAAGCTCAGGGACAAATCCACAGACTACTAAAATCTGTTTAGGCCTTTCTGGCCTGCATATTTGCATTGTATTCTCTACCACTCTAACCTGTTTTGACTTTCTAACCTAATTTTTTTTCCTTGTTTACATTAAAAATTTTTTTTTCTACTTATGTATTTTTATTTAAGATGCTTCAAATCTCTTGTGGACTGAGATTAAATATAAATAAAAAATTATTTATAAATAAAATAGATTCAGTGTTCCTTTCACTAAATATAGCTAGGTAACTATATAAATTTACTTGTATGCAAATATGTGGCAACAGTTAGCAACTTGCAGTTGGGTTGAGTTATTTATTTGCTATGATTAGCTTTTAACTGGAAGTGTTCTCTGATAGAAACAGACAAGGTACTCTCCCAGAACACAAAACTTTTAAAACGTGAAACGTAGCAGTTAAACTTTAGAGTAGATAGTGGTTGCCATTTGCAGCTTAAATTTGAAAAGAAATTAGGTTGCATTTCAATGAAAGAAGTTAAGAACATACCCAAGGCATGACCTCCCCACCGCTCCATCCCAGGACTGGGATCTTTTCCCAGATCTTCTGTTCCACTTTCTTCCTTCAACTGATACCATTAGGAACTCTAGTGATAACTGCTGCCCTGCAGTAGTGTATTGAGAGTCAAGGACCTCTTTGACTTTCAGGAGGAAGGATATGGGTTCCTGGGCAAGGTCACTGAAGGAGGGAGTGAACTCTTGTGACGCTAGTCTGTGTAGTCATTGAGATTTTCCTCTTTTAGTAAAGATCATTCGTCACTTAGTCATTAACTTTCTGTGTAATTTCCCCTTTACTGTGTTATATATTCTAATAATTTCTGATAAAGCATGTGGGGTTTTTGGGAAAATTTTGTCTCTGGTTTTATTTCCTTTAAAATGTAAGTTATTTTCTCTGTCAGTCTTGGTTTTGGATCAGTTTCTTTGTCTACAGAGGATCGCTTTTTGTAGATTTAACAATATGAATTTAATCTGCTGTGTTTGAGAGAGATCAGCAAGAAAGGAAGAGCCCATATTTTGAATTTTAGACATAAGTTACTTTGATAAGAGGATTTTAAAAAATTCCCTTTTAACCACAGAACGCCTCCATTGGAAAGGATTCTGAAAGAAATGAAGAAAACCATAAGAAATGAAGTCAGTAGCCTCGTGGCCGCCTGTTGACTGGACTGGAGTCTTATTACTGCAATTTCTTGCAAGGAAGCTCTACATAATGTCTGCTGAGGTCATCCATCAGATTGAGGAGGCCCTGGATGAGGATGAGAAAGAAATGCTGCTTTTCCTGTGCCAGGATGTTGCTGCAGATTTGGTTCAAGTTAATGTCAGGGACCTTTTGGATAGTTTAAGTGAAAAAGGGAAGCTGTCTTTCATGGGCCTGGCTGAGCTGCTCTACAGAGTGAGGAGGTTTGACTTGCTCAAGCGGATCTTGAAGATGGACAAAATGACAGTGGAGGCCCACCTGCGCAGGCACCCTCATCTTGTTTCGGACTACAGGTGATCCTGAGGCTGGGAGGGAATGAGGTGGTCCAGACTTTTGAATGAGAGAAACAAGGACAGTAAGAGAAGCAGCCTCATTACTTTCTCGGCTCACTGATCCAACTGCTTCATTCCTTTAAACTCTTTGAATTTTTAGATTGTGTTTGCTTAAAGCAATTGGATAGTAGGGCATAATGACAGTGGAAGGGGGTGGATGGTTTGTGTTTGCCTGATGGATAGAACGAGAGAAATAGGCATGACTAAGGCCTAGTAAATATTTTTAATTTATTGGTTTTAGGGAGAGAGCAAGGGAGAGAGAGAGGAGATAAAAACCACATTGATTTGTTGCTCCACTTATTTATGCATTCATTGGTTGATTCTTGCTCTACTTATTTATGCATTCATTGGTTGATTCTTGTATGTGACCTGACCAGGAATCCAACCTGCAACCTTGGAGTATCGGGACGATGCTCTAACCCACTGAGCTACACACAGGGCCAAGACATAGTAATTCTTGACAGCCTCTTTGAGATCTGCAATGGTCTTTGTTAGCTTGATTTTCTATGATGTCAGACCTGGCAATTTTCTATTTATTTATTTATTTAAATATATCTTTATTGATTTCAGAGAGAGAAAGGAAGAGGGAGAGAGAGGTAGAAACGTCAATGATGAGAGAGTCATTGATCAGCTGCCTCCTACATGCCCCCAACTGGGGATTGTGCCTGCAACCCCGGCATGTACCTTGACGGGAATCAAACCGGGATATCCTGGATCCTAGGTCGATGCTCAGTGGCTGAGCCACGCCCAGCTGGGCACACCTGGTAATTTTCCATACTGAGAGAAGAAATAACAAGTGTGATATTTTGTTGTTTTATGGTCTTTGTAGAACTCTGTGATCCTTCTTGAATCTCCTTTCTGCTGCTGCGACAGCTAGTGGGTTGAGCTTCCTGCCTGTGAGTTTCTGCTTCCAGTGTCTTATATATAGCTCCCCATAGCCTTAGTATGGAAAATTGCCATGTCTGACATCATAGAAAATCAAGCTAACAAAGACCACCTCTCAGCCCCTTTCAGTTCAGAGAGGAACGTCCGCTGTAGTCCCCTTTGGTTCAGAACAGCCTTTAAGCTGTTCCTTCTTTCTGGTCACAAAATACTCTCTTGGAGGCTCTGGGGTGCAGAGAAGCCACCAGAAAGAGTGTTTCTGGGGAAATGAGAACTTATCTTAAATTAGCAGTTCCTTTTTCTCCAGACCACCAGCCTTTAGTTATATCAATAATGTATATTTAGACATGTGTATTATTAAAAACTAAATTATTAAAGAGAGTTGAAAGCAGTGTGGACTTTGGAAAGTGTCTGAGACTTGAGGTCTGAAGTCTTGATTCAAGCCTCAGAACTGTCAGGTACCGGCCTCGTAGCCTGAGCCAGCCACTAACATGGGTTGGGCCTTCCTTTTCCTACTCGTAAAGCTAAGAATAATATAATACTTAATTTCACACGTTCGTTTGTGAGGATCAATTGTGATAATTTAGCATGTGAAGTACCTTTTAAAACTGTGATGCACTCCACAATGTAATTGTCATTATTCTCTATCATCTCCCACCTCTCCAACCATCTTGTAATATCAGTAATCTTAAAACTTTTGGGGAGACACCGACTGGGTTTTTGGGAATAAGCTAGGGAGCACTCTCTCCGTTTGCTGTTTCCTGTCTACGGTGAGTGGAGGCAGTTTCTCAGGGCCTCTGAGCAGAAAGGCTGGGCAATGGGAGGGGAGTGTTAGATTCATTCATTCATTTGTTAAGTAGGGGTTTTTTTGTGGGTTGACATATGCCAGCCAGGTATTTGGGAAGTGCTAGAGCAAAATAAGTGAAGACTCTTCCATCCTCAAGACTCTGAGAGTCTAACTGGGAAAACAGGCCTCTAAGCAGTTAGGACAATTTTAAGGTGATAATGCTAACCATGAGGTGTCCTGCAAAGCCCCGTAAAGCATGATGGTAGCTCTTACTGGAACAGAGGTGACTGAGTCAGAAGGGGCTTTCTAGACTAAGACATCTGCAGTCACAATCCCCAGGCTCTAGATGCCTTTACCCTTTGAGTTCCCGAGTGGGCCTGGATATCCCAGGTGTTACTTTGTGTTAGAATCTTGTGACTCAAAGTATGGTCCCTGAAGCAGCGTCAGCATCACCTGGGAGCTTGTTAAACAGAGAATTCAAGACCATTTTCAAGTCTATTTGTCTTCATCTTAGTCATTCAGGTTCTTTACGTATTTCTTCATAACTTCTGGGGGAGTTAGGGGATTCTTTAGGGAAGTTTTTATTTTCTGAGTTGTTTTCAGAGCAGTTGGAAAGAGAGGTACCATCTCTGATTGAAAACGGGGGGAAAGATGACCTTTCTTTTTAAGCTCCCTTAAGATCTCTTTCTGGGGTGATCTAGGATTTCTGTGTTATGGGGGGCACGTTCAAATGGGGACAAGAACTAGTCTTTTAACCAGTTATTGGCATAGGCTCTTTGTGCTGTCACTGGGACTGGTACCTGAATTTACTAAAGAAACTCATCTGTTTTACAGGGTGCTGATGACCGAGATTGGTGAAGATTTGGATAAATCTGATATGTCCTCATTAATTTTTCTCATGAGGGATTATATGGGCCGAGGCAAGACAGCTAAGGATAAGGTGCGTTTTCTTTTTCTTGGTTAATATTCCCAAAAGCCTATCAGAAGTTGGAGGACACCTTTTACTGTGTGAAGAGATGGAAGCAGGCATTTGAGCAGGGAGGTCCACGCTGGGGGTGAAGGAAGGCAGAAAGTGAGAAGAGTATGGTTTTATGTCTTTCCTTTTTATAGTAACATTGATGGTAGGAAAATTGGTTTATGAATTGAAAGGAAACAGGGTGATATCTTCTGGTGTGGCCCTGGGTGTTTCTCTCACCCTTGTATTTTAATCCTTGTATTAAATTCATAGGCCTGGCTTATGCATCAGTTTTTCTCCCTGATTTGAAAGATCATCTGGGAGAGTTAGGAAGCTTCGTCTGCTCATGCTGAGTAGAAACAGGTGGGAAGTGCTAATCCACTTCTGTGTCTCTCTCCTTAGCTAGCTCAAGGTCAGTGCAGAGTCATTAGGCTGCAGGAGGAGATATGTCCTTGTGACCCATTTATCCAGTGAATGGCAAAAGTAGAGATTTGGGTTTGAAAACTAGGTAGTGGTGAAGAGACCAGGGATATGTGATTGCTGGAAAAGTATTTAAATTCTAGCTGCCCCTATAAAGTACTGCCGACCTAAGGACAGGCCAGGAAGACCTCAGGTCTCTAGTATTTGATAGTATATCCATAAAGGAGCTGCCTCTGTGGACTGTGGTAAGTCATTGCTTGAGGATTTCCTCATGTTCCTCAAAGATGGCAATTTCTGAAATCTGGAAATAAAGGGTGACTGTATGCCCCCCCTCAACCAAATGCAAAATGGGAAGAAAAATTGAAAAAAATGAACTCCTCTTTTGGTGTCCCCTAATCAACTTGTCTCCCAATCATTTATATAGATTTAATTATGATTATTATATTTTAAAATAAGAATAGGACTTAAGTAACCAAATGTTAAACAGAAGAGAAGTAAAACCAAAACCAGTGCCTGTTTCTGCAACATTGCTCTTTCACAATCCTTGTAGTTCAGGGTAAATGAGTAACAATGCCCTACCCTTGAAATTTTGTTTCCTCATATCCCCTAAATCAGAGTGAGTTGGAATGTCCAACATTGATTAAAATGTTTTAGGAACTTCAAAACTGTATCATTGGGGTTTTTCTAGTAAAAACTTTCCCCAAACTACCTTCTCTCTTCCTTTTTTTAGGAAAGCCCTTAGAGATTTTCAGTATAACACTAGCTTGAGTTTTTGAAAGAGAAGATGTTCAGGAGGATTTTAGTATATTTTTAGGCCTGCTCTCTCACCATATTTCTTGACACAAAATAGCCCATGTGTCCATCCCCAACCTAGGCACAGGTTGGCCACCAAAAGACTTACTACTACCTCTTTGCTGAATAAAATTCAGGAGAGTAATTTGCACCTGGCCTTGGAAGGACTATCAGACAGAGAGGTCTGGTTTAGGATCACTGAAGGTCTGCAGGCACTCCACTTGTCACGTTTTCTTGCTGTTATAAACAATGGCCTGAGTTCTTCATTTGGGACTTAATAATCAGCCCTACTGACATTTATTTCTTGTTGGTGGCTCTTTTAGAGCTTCCTGGATCTTGTGATAGAACTGGAGAAGCTAAATCTGGTTGCTCCAGATCAGTTGGACTTATTAGAAAAATGCCTAAAGAACATCCACAGAATAGACCTGAAGACAAAAATCCAGAAATACAAGCAGTCTGGTAAGCAGAATTTTGGCCTCTCAGTGGCCTAAGAAAAGTACCCTGTGCATGGTAGGTTTGGTTGGTAAAAATTCATTGTTGGATGGATGGAAAGAACCTGAATGCTCAGTCCCACTAGCCTGTGATTAGAGATCATATCCATTTATATATCCTTCATATCCCACATCTGCTGACTTCATCACCCCACACCCATTACCACAGTCTTGGCCTTCTCCCATGCTGCCAAGCAGTTCTTAACATTCCTGCCTTCAGGAAAGAGTTTGCACCCCCATTTTCTGCACCAGGTGGAGGTGCTGTGGACATTCATGACTTTTTTTTTTATTATTATTTTTTAATATGTCTTTATTGATTTCAGAGGGAGGAAGGGAGTGGGAGAGAGATAGAAACATCAATGATGACAGAGTCACTGATTGGCTGCCTCCTGCAAGCTCCCCCCCCCCAACTGGGGATGGAGCCCACAACCCGGGCATGTGCCTTGATCTGGAATCAAACCGCAGTCTTCTGGATCATAGGTTGATGCTCAACTGCTGGGCCACTCCAGCTGGGCAGGACTTTTGAAAATATACTGAGCCCTGCTGCCTTGCTCCAGTGTTTGGCCTGATCACCATTCAACTCTGGGTGGTATCCTGTCACTGGGGTCCCATAGCTGCCCTGCATATGTTCTGAGTTTCACAAAAGCTTCTCATGAAAAAGGGCATCTTTTCTTTTTTTAAAAAAATATATCTTTATTGATTTCAGAGAGAGAGCTAGAAACATCAATGATGAGAGAGAATCATTAATTGGCTGCCTCCTGCACTCCCCATGCTGGGGATGGAGCCCGCAACCTGGGCATGTGCCCTGACCAGGAATTGAACCTCGATCTCCTGGATCCTAGGTCGATGCTCAACCTCTGAGCCACGCCCAGCCAGGCAAAGGGCATCTTTTCTGCTGATAACCCCTCCCTTGGTAAAGNTCCCTCGGTAAAGGGGACCAGATTCACACTGGCCCTCTCCCTTGCCACCCTTCCCCTATTGTCTTTTAGACTTAGCCTCAGATTGGGCTCTGTTGGCAATCTACTGCCACCAGAGTCACAGCCTGAAGGGCATGGCTGAGACCCAGTGATCTGTAGAACCCCTGCCCTCCACTCCATACCCCTAAGTGACTGATAAAAGATCAAGTCCAAGAGTAGCATTTTTAGTACATTCTTAATGATGCTGGTGGAAGAGTCATCTGATCTGAAATTTTGAATTAAGTAAGGTGGCTGGAAAGTTTAGGGTTTTTTGAAAGATGATGATTGACCTTGAAGTGAGCCATTGTTGAAGATTCGTTTAATAATAATTGGTAAACCTTAACTCTCTTCTGCTTATAGCTCAAGAAACAGAAACAAGTCACATAAATGGTTCCCAGGCATCTCTCACAAACTTGAGTCTTAAGGATCCTCCATATAACTTAAAGGTGAGTCTGGATCAAATGTGTGGAATCCCAGCACGAAAAAGCTTCAGAAACTTAATTAAAATATACGTGTTCTCACACTATGTACTTTAATATCTGAAAAAAATTGTGATAGAAACATGCACTTGTTTTTAAAACATATATAACAATTTGTGTTTATAAAGCTCTCATATGCTCATTAAGGTAATTTGGAAAACACAGAGAAATATAAATAAAGTACAGTAGACTGACTATCCTACCACCCAAAGATAACAACTGTTATCTTGTTCTGTTCCTTTCTAGTCTGTTTTCTATTCGGTTTGCTTTTGTATTACATATGCAATTGAACATTTTCTTTCTTTGTTCATGTGTTCCTGTGAAAGTTTAGCTTTTTAAATAAAAATTGGTCAGGACATGCCCATGGACCAAAAAACTCAAAGTGATACTAAAAAACTTAAAATATGTTTTTATTGATTTTTAGAGAGAGAAAGGGAGCGGAATAGAGACAGAAACATCGATGAGAGAGAAACATCAATTAGCTACCTCCTGCACGCCCCCCACTGGGGATCGAGCCAGCAACCTAGGCATGTGCCCTGACTGGGAATTGAACCGGCAACCTCTTGCTTCAGTAGGTTGATGCTCAACCACTGAGCCACACCAGTGGGACTAAAAGACTTTTTAAAGTATGTTTCCTCCTAAAGATAGCTGAGAGACCATCCAGAGATAGTCTATATAAATATCGTATTTCATTTTTTTTCTAATCTGAGAATTCTTAGAAATTATTCCACATAAATTCTATGAAACTACTTCTGTTTAATCATTCTAATTTAACATGGTCCTACTTTCTAAATGTATTGTATTTGTATATTTAGATTATCTCTAATCCTCTGTTAATGTAAACAATGCTTCAAAATAAATACCTTTGTATTTACCTCTCAATAAGTTCAAAGAAAGCAAAAGGCATTTGCTTTTTAATGATGCTTATTTTAATGATGTCAGCAAAAGTGTTTTTATTGTTGAGAGATGTTACTGATTTGTGAACATAAATTTCACATAGTCACTTCTGGTTTTTGTGTTAGTAGATAGTGCAAGGTAATCTCAGAATTGTTCTTTGGCTAATTTTTTATCCTGTGAAGTTCATCTTAGTATAATCTCGTCCTCATTGCCATATCAAGATATGTGGAATTTGTAGTGAGGACTTAGACCACAGTGCAAGTTCATGTTTAAGTGGTAAATACTTTCATAAAAGTATGTGATGAAAACATTAACTGCCCCTGTGATATAGTTTCATGAAGAACATGAGCTGTAAGAGTTACCACTGAGCAACAGAATTTCAGAGCTAAAAGGGATGTTAAGGATTACACTGTCTAGTCCCCTCACTGAACAAATAAAAAAACATAGTTCTAAAGAACGTTAAGTGATTATCCACCTCCAACTATCACGAGAACTGGGCCCAGTCCTTGCTCCTTCCTCTACACCATGGGTGTATTTAATAAACTACATACTAGACATGCCATTGCTTAGATATATCTGTCATTTTTCAAGAATCAATTATGCTGACCTAGCCAGCTTGGCTCAGTAGTTAGAGCTTCGGTCCTGGGTTTGATTCTGGCCAAGGGCTGTACCTCTGTTGCAGGCTCTGCCCCAGTTTGGGCACATGAAGGAGGCAGTCAGTCGATGTGTCTCTCTCACATTGATGTTTCTCTCTCTCTCTCTCTCTCTCTCTCTCTTCCCCTTCTACTCTCTGAAAAGCAATGGAAAAAATATCCTTGGGTGAGGGGGCAAAAAAAATAAAAAAAAAGTTATGGTGGCATTAAATAACACATGATACCAACATATTATAGAATAAAAAAGGTGTATGACTCGCAATATAATGCTTTTAATTTTATTTCTTTTGTTTTGCAACATAATGCTTTTAAAAATATATATATTTTTATTGATTTTAGAGTGAAAGGGAGAGGGGGGGAGAGAGAGAAACATTGATGTGAGAGAAATATCAATAGGCTGCCTCCCATGTGCACCCTGGGGACTGAAACCACACCTGACGGGGAATTGAACTGGTGACCTTTTGGTGTACGGGCTGACTCAACCGACTGAGCCACACCAGCCAAGGCTCAATATAATGCTTTTTAAACCTAGCTTCAATTTAATGTTATGTATCTTTAATAGTATGTAAAAGTGAATGCGTATCCATGTGGGGCTTGAACTTCTATTTAATATCAACAACCTGTGTCTAAGGCACTGGTTATTAGGGATAAAAGCAAGTTACATGTTTTTCTTTAATTTAGACACACAGACTTAGCTAAAGACACAGCTTAATGAACAGTCTACTTCTTTCTTTTGGCTAGGATAGCTTCAATGGAGAACTGTCATTTGAAAGATGAGCGTATCAGACGGTTGACAGTATGTGATATGTGTACCTTACACAGGCCCTGTCACTTGAGAAGAGAAAGGGTCAGTTCAGTCTTTCTCTGGTTAATCCCACTGTAGCCCTCAGAAGTGGTAGCTGTTATCAAGAATCAAGCCCACATGTGGCTTATGTATATACCTAGGCAATTACAGAAGAACAANATAACTGGACAATAACTGGACATTTTTTAAGCACTTCCATATGCTAGGCACTGTCCTGAGTACTTTGTATACATTTAACTTTCACAAAAAATGTATAAGGTAGGTACTCTGATTGTCCTTATTTTGAAGATAAAGAAACAGANGAAGAACAATAACTGGACATTTTTTAAGCACTTCCATATGCTAGGCACTGTCCTGAGTACTTTGTATACATTTAACTTTCACAAAAAATGTATAAGGTAGGTACTCTGATTGTCCTTATTTTGAAGATAAAGAAACAGATACATAGAGATTAAATAACTTGCTTGAGAGAGGGGAGATGGCGGCCCTGTGAGAAGCAGCAGAGTGCCCCGCTCCCAGCCACAGACTCAATTTACTCCTAAAATCCTATGTAGCCAGCTTGGAAAAGCCAAAGAAACTTACCTGAGTGGATGGAGCGCAAGTAGGGAGCACTGAAGAAACATAGAGTCCGGTAAGAGAGGAGAGGCATAGAAAGGGGGAGACCCCCTGAAGCCTGTGCTGGGCTCCGAGCCCGAGGCTGCAAAGCTCCCTGCTCTTGGGAGTGCGGACGGCATCCAAAAGCGGGGATCCCACACCCGGAGCGGAGGAGAGGGGAAGGAGCGCCCCGCGCACAGGGCAGAGGGCCCCAGGGGAGTGGTGAGTCCCGGAGGGACGGCGCCTTCCGAGGAAACTATCCTCTAGTGGCGGCTGGGACCGGTGTCTAATGCTCAGGGTGCTGAACATAGGAAAGGCTGTCCCAAAGCGTGTGGCACCGAGTAGTAAGGGACCAGAGGTCGAGACTGAGCAGCCGCACCCAGGGACCCTCTGCCCCCCTGTGGGGCATTGTGTTGAGTCCCGTAAAGCATTGAATCTGCATGGCTCGGGGAGGGGAGGAGCCCTCCGGCCCTGAGCTCCCGGTGGGGAGAGGCTGGGAGCTGTGACCAGCCCTGAGGGTGCCCTCCCGCCCTGAGCTCTTGGTGCTGAGAGGCTGGGATCTGTGACCAGCCCTGAGGGTGCCCTCCTGCCCTGAGCTCTTGGTGCTGAGAGGCTGGGATCTGTGACCAGCCCTGAGGGGTGCCGTGGTGGTGCATGGAGCCACCCCAGCTTTGCTGAGAGCAGTGGTGCGGGGAGCTGCATGGAGCTGACTTTGGGTCCCCTCCCGCTGGGGGCCTTGGCGCGCAGGTAGAAACTTACCTGAGTGGACGGAGCGCAAGTTGGGAGCATTGAAGAAACATAGAGTTCGGTAAGAAAGGCGGGTAGGACTCTGCCTGTGTGTTGCTTTGTGCGTTGTGTTTGTGAGTCTGATTGTGGGACTGGCTCCCACCTTCCCGGGGTGCACTGTGTGGACAGACCAGCAGAGGCTGGGATTGGGGTCTGCACAGGGGATTGTCTGAGGGCGGGCCTGGTGCGACCAGTCAACCAGAGCTGAGCAGGGAGGGGCGGAGCCCGCAGCCTTTCCTGCAGCCGGGAGCACTGCCTTCAACAGGAAAGGGGCGGGTCCACTCACTGAGCCCCAGACACCCCGCAGGGCACAGTCCTGAGGNGAGGGAGAGGGGAGAGCAGCTCACAGGAGGACTTTACAAGAATAAGACTCTCAGGGACTGTTGTTTNACTCACTGAGCCCCAGACACCCCGCAGGGCACAGTCCTGAGGGAGAAGGGAGAGCAGCTCACAGGAGGACTTTACAAGAATAAGACTCTCAGGGACTGTTGTTTGGGAACTGGAGGAAACGCTGAAACCCCTGTTGGGGGCTGGGCAGGCAAAGAGCTCACTGGAATGTTCTTTAATTGAACTCACTGAGCCCAGGCTGCTGAAACGGCGCAGACAGAAAAGGCAACAGGCTGAAATCAATCTGAAGCTGCAGAAGGACAGAGCCTGGGGGACTAGAATCAGAGGACAGGGTAGGGACTGAGGAGCTTGCGGTGGAGCAGAGACTAACTCCCTCACAGGGAGCGCCTGACAGCAAAACCTCTAAGTAAGGGGAGTGATACCCTGGGCTACACTAGCCACCCTGCACCCTAAAGACTCTACAGAAGACTCTGGAGCAAGACAGGCAGCTACAAAGTTGCAATAGATGAAAAGAGGAAGTGGTCTGCGGAGAGCTTCAGATCAGCCATCTACCTAAGGACACCAGAGCCAAACCCAGACGGCTCCTTGCATTGGCTGATACACAAGTACCTCCCGGAGAACGGAAATCAGCACACAAAACAGTGAGCTGCAGACAACATAAGCTGCCCAGAAGAAACTCACCTGATTGACTGTCTTTTTTTCCCCCCTCTTTTTCCCTTAGGAAGAAGAGAAAGGGAAAAAAATTTGGTTTTTCTTTTTAAAGTTTATAATAATTTTTAAAAAAATTTTTCTTTTTTTTTAAAAAAAGAATTTTCTTTTGCTTAGCTTGTTTTTTGTTTTGTTTCTCTGTTTTGTTTTGTTTTTTTGCTTTGTTTTGTTTTATCCTTGCTTCTGCTGTCAAGACTTTCTTGATATCCCTGCTTAATTGCTGGTACTTTATCATTATAAACAAGTTTACTATTTTTCTCTATAGTTGCCCCCAAATCTCTTATTGGACTGCCTCCCTGCCCGGGATTTATCTCTCTTGACCCATTAGCATAACTTTTTTTTTCTTTTTTTTCTTTTCTTCTTTTCTTTCTTTCTTTTGTTTTCCTCCTTTCTGTCTTCCTGTCTTTTTGTTCAGTTGTTAGTTTCTCTTATTATCTTTATTGTATTTTTATTTTTTCGTTTTCAACTATTATCCTATTCCTATTCTCTCCCTTAATTTTTTGCTGGCCCTTCTTTCGGAATCTTTTCTCTGCCTCTATTATCTCTCAGTAGCTTCTCTATTTTTTACATTTTAGTTTATTATTATTTTCTAAATTTTTGTCACTATTAACAATATGTACTTTTCTCTCTTTAAGCTTTACTTTTCTTTCTTTTTTTTACCTTTTTTTTTTTCTTCTCTAGAATTTGTGTTCTCCCTTCACTCTCCCAGTTCCATTTTCACTTGGGTTATTTTCATTGTGACTGTCAAGATATTTTTTAAGATACCCCTTGTTTCCTGGAAGTTTAGTTGTGTATTGTTCTGCTTTGCCAGCACCCATACAACAGCTTACACAACAAGGTTGGGGCTGAGACACACAGTTAGCCAACCCGAGAGGAGAGTCCTCCCAAGAACTGGTCAACAACAATCTAGACCAAACCACAACAGGAGAGCCCAAAGAACCCACATAAAGGACACTCCTAGAGCAAAGAGCTGAGAAGTATAAGGAAAACACACCTCTGGGCTCCACTGGACTCACAATACAAAATCCCACCCCACAAGACTGGGAGACAGCAAATATATGTAATATATAGATACAAACACTAAGAACCACCAAAATAGGGAGACAAAGAACCCCCAAATTAAAAAAAAGGAAAAATCACCAGAAAAAGACTTTGATGATATGGTGTTAAGCAAGTTATCAGAAACAGAGTTCAGAATAATGATTATAAAGATGTTCAAGGAAATTAATGAGAAAAATAAGGCACTAGATGATAATAAGATCGAGGACCTTAGTGAAAACATGAAAAAAGAGATACATAACATAAATAAAAATCAGAAATAAAGAATGCTGTATCTGATATCAAGAATACACTGGGAGGAATTAAAAGCAGGCTCAATAAAGCAGAGGCTAGAATAAGTGACTTAGAAGACAAGGTAGAAAAAAATCACTCAATCAGAGCAGCANAGACAAGGTAGAAAAAAATATCACTCAATCAGAGCAGCAAAAAGAAAAAACACTTAAAAAGCATGAGGACAGTCTAAGGGAGCTTTGGGACAACATGAAGCAAAACAATGTTCACATTATAGGAGTGCCAGAGGGGGAGGAAAGAGAACAAGGGATAGAGAACTTGGTGGAGGAAATNGCATTATAGGAGTGCCAGAGAGGGAGGAAAAAGAGGAAGGGATAGAGAACTTGGTGGAGGAAATAATGACAGAAAACTTCTCTATGCTGGTGAGGGAGAAAGCCACACAAGTTCAGGAAGCACAGAGGGTTCCAAACAAGAGGGACCCAAAGACCCACTCCAAGACACATCATAATTAAAATGGCAAATGTCAAGGACAAAGAGAAAATATTAAGGGCTGCAAGAGAGAGACAAGCAGTGACCTACAAGGGAACCCCCATACGGCTGACATCAGATCTCTCACCAGAAACTCTTCAGGCCATAAGGGAGTGGCATGAAGTACTCAAAGTAATGAAAAGCAAGAACATGCAACCAAGATTGGTTTATTCAGCAAGGCTATCATTTAAAATTGAAGGTGCTGGGGAAATTGGACAGATACATGCAAAAAAATGAAACTAGACCACCAACTTTCACTATACACAAAAATAAACTCAAAATGGATAGAAGACTTAAATGTAAGGCAGGAAACCATAAAAATCCTAGAGGAAAACATAGGCAGTAAAATCTCAGACATCTCTCATAGCAATATGTTTGCTGATACAT